CCCCAGCCCAGGGTCTCCTTCTCTCCCCGCCCCATGACATAGCTTCCCCAAACAGGGTTCACTGGAGGGGCTGCTAGTTGAGAGCGGCCAGGCTGGGGCATCTTTCATCCACCCTCTGCCCTGGCACCAAGGTTTCACTGGGTGTGGCTTGCTTGCCCTGCTGCCAGCCCAGAGAAGCTGCAGCCTCTCGCTCCCACCCCAAGCTGGCTGTCCAGAGATTGCTGGGCTGGGGTCCCAGCTGTTAGGCAGGTTGTCAGCGCCCTTTGGCCCCAGCCTGGCCAGGGGTCTGTAGCCTCCCTCCCCAGGGGGTGTTCAGGTGGGATCTTCTTACCCAGGATTGCTCAGGGACCTGGCGGCAGAGATGAGGGTGGGGACTGGTGTCATCTTGAGTGGACCTTTGCCCCACCCTACACCGTTAAAGATGCTCAGTGAGGTCCACTCTACGGATGCCTGGGGCTTCTGCCAGAGCCTGGGCCCCACCCAGCTCTCAGCCTTCAGGCCTCCTTTCTCCGCCACTTGCCAGTTGAGGGCCTTCAAGGTCCTCACACTGCCTCCCAAGGCTCCTGCCTTCTCCTCTCATTATGGAGGGCTCCTCTTGTTTTGCTCAATGCTCTGCTTGCAGCCCCATCCCAGCCCCCTCCCAGCCATCCTCTGCTGTGTTTGTTACCCTCCCTGGAATATAAGCTCACTGAGGGCAGGCACATCAACTGGTTCATTGAATTGTCCCCGCCACTGCATACAGCCGTTTGCATGTAGTTGGAGCTTGATAAATGTCTTTTGACTTGACTGCACTGGAGCCCCACCTGCTTTGGAAATGCAAATTTAGGTGGGGGTGGTGTTGCTTTTGGGGGACAAGCAGAGGACCTGGAGGCTAAAAGCCAGAGGCACAAGAACAGGTGAAGTCTCTTCTCGGCTCTCCCCTCTAGTCCTGCCTTCCTGCTCTTCTCCACCAGGGGGTGCTCTTTCCTCTTCCGTAGAAGGGCCAGAAGCTGTGGCCAGGTTTATGGCCACCCGTCGCGTAACCCACCTGCCACCCATTGTTTTTCCTTTTTGGCTCACAGGGTGCTTAGAATCCATCATAAAATGTGAGCCCCAAATCGGAGGAGGCAGGCAGAGAAGGCCTTATTGTTTCCAGGCAGAGGGTGAAACTGAGGTTCAGAGAAGGTACCTTTCCTCAATGACATACAGCTACAAGGTGGGCAGGATGGGAACCTGAACCCAGGACTCTTGGTTCAGTGCTCCTTGAGGACAGCATACAACCCCTTGCCGGCTCCTGGGCCAGGCCTGACCCTGACCCTGGACGGCTCTGGTCTGGACTCCTGGATCTCCCCACAATGCTCCCCTGCTCGCCTCTGCCTGGCCCTGGGGAAGGCGGGTTCTTCCTCTGGCACCCCAGACTTGGGGTTCTTTTCCCTTCACTCCACTCCTCACCCCCTCCTTGTGTCCCCTCAGGTTCTCTCTCCCTTGCTGCCTGCTCCTTAACCAAAAAGCCTACTCAGGTGCCCCCACCCAAACAGGAACGTGTGCTGCCCGATTGTCCCTTCTGCTGACTCTCAGGGCCGGTCCCTTTTCCTCACCCTGGAGGCTCTCCTCTCTGCACAGTCTGGCTTCCCCTCCCGCCATCCCCTGAAAGTGCCCTCTCTGCCTGACACAGGCCACTTCCTCCGGCCACCTGCTTCCCCTCAGTCCTCCTCACCTGCCTCTAGAGGTGAGTGCTCCTTGGGTCCTGTCCCACATCTGGTCTCCTCTCTTCACTGTCCCTGGAGAACCTGAGCCACACTCCTGGTCCTTCGACAACCTCTAGAGCCTGGTCTCTAGCTCAGGCTCTCTTCCTTCTGGGAGATGGACCCAGCGTTTAAGCCATCACCAGCAACACAGCCTGAGGGTTAAGTGTGTGGATTCGGGAGCCCAAATGCCTGGGTTCGAATCCTGCATGTCCTTGGTAAGATACTCAAGCTTTCTGGGCCTCAGTTTCCTATCCATAAAATGAGGATTATAATATCTACTTCACAGGCCCTTTGTAAGGACTTAGCACATACAAAGGACTTAGCACAGTGCCTGGCATATACCCTCTCCCTGAGAACACTCGAGATGACTAGTCTACCTAATGTTCTGAGCCAGAAACCTTGGGGTTGTTCTAGACTCTTCCATCTCTTATGCCCAACACCCAGTTGGTCACAGAGTCCCGGGGGCCTCTGATATTTGTTGCCCCCCAACCCCTCACATGTCCTCCGTTCTTTCCCAAGCCGCCACAGTGGCCATGGCACTTCTCTGCGTAAATCCCTGCCCCAAGCCAGGCTAGAATCTAAGTGTCTCAGGCGTCACCCCTGGGTCACATCCCCTCTGCGTTTCCTTCCTCATCCCTCTGTGCTTCCTGCCCGCGTATGTACGCTCCCCTTGGCTCCAGCTAGAGTCTGCTCTCCTGCTCTGTCTTTTCTCCCTGGAGGGCTTTTCCCCCCATTCCCCACCCCACTCCATGAAGCCCCAAAAAGCTCAAGGCATCCTCCTTCTGGACCTTCCTCCACTTCTCCAGTCTCCCATTGCTCCTTTTCTGGGATCTCACTCTAGAGTCAGGATTGGTAAGACCAGGACCCCTCAAAGGGAAGGAGCCAGGCCTTATCTCTGTATCCCCAGGGGCAACCTCCGCTCCCCACCCCCTCAAATATTAGGGCTCCCAGTAAGTGTTTGGGAATGAAGGAAAGTGATTGGGCTGGGGGAGGAGTTTAGAAAGAGGAAGGATATAAGGAGGGTCCTCACTGAGGGACACCCTCCACCCCATGTTGGGCTTTACCGCCTGAAACCCCAGAGAAAGAGTGTGCCAGGAATAGAGTGGATTTTGAGGTGGATGGTGGGACGCAGGGAGTGAGACATGGGAAGTCAGAGGAATAGGGAGCCAGGACAGAGAGGAAGGATGGGAGGAAGAGGTGTTTGGGAAGATCGATGAGGGAGAGCCACACAGAATGGAGGTGCAGGTCAAGGTGCAGGAAGAGGTGGGAAGGGCAGCAGGGTGGGGGGAGGGCGCACTTTCTGGGAAGCGGGAGAGGGTGGGGGAGGTGAGTGCAGTGCATTGTGGAGGGAGGAATTGCCTGCCGGCCACTGTGAGCTCATTTCCTCTCACCGCCTCCTGCAGTGTCTGAGGGCACAGGCTCTGGAAAAAGTGAGCCAGGGGCACCCCAGAGGCCACCACCCTCCTCCCCTCCCCCACAGCCTCAGTTCAGTCTGGATCTCAGATGCCACTGCTGCCCCCTTACATAGACACCCCATTTGTTCTGAGAGGAAAGGGCCCCTGAGCCAGGGTGGCAGCCAGCCTTGGACCACTGGGGCTGCAGGGCAGAAAGAGGCAGAAACAGGGACCTGGTTGAAGATTAAGCAAGAAAATACAGGCAGTATGACGGATTACAGTTAGATAGCAGGAAGGACTCAGAAGTGGGGGATAATTCTGGCTGCATGTGACCTTGACGAAGAGAGGTGGGGAAGGAAAAGGAGTCATTAACTGCCACTCCATCATTATAAAAGCATCCCTTTCCACTGACTTCCAGGGGATTTGAAATAAATTAAATAAAACATAAGATTTAAAAACAAGTCAGTCTCTCCTTCCTCAGGCTCACGGGAGTAGGGTTGGCCTAGTTGGGTCTGGGCCCCGCGGCCCCTCCAGGACCTGAGTGCCTGATCCTGCTCAGAGGTGAAGGGCTGGGGGGCTTGGGGTTGATTTACTCTCAGGAATCGGGGTGATGGGGGTGGTGGTGAAGCAAACAGGTTTTCCCAGGTCTCCTTGCCCCAGAGGGGGTGGGTGACTCCAGTTGGTGTCAGGCTTCCCACGTTCATTGCCTGCCTTATCCAACCATATTTCTACCTGTCTGTGGCCTCTGCCTCCCTTTCTTCATAATCTGGATGAAGGAATACAGGAGCCATAAAACTGCAAGAAGGCCTGGGAAAGAGGTGAGCATAGGCTGTAGGAAATAGGAGGTACGAAGGGTGTTAGATCCCAGAAAGAACTTTCCAGCAGAAATGAAGGACTGAGGGGCCGTCCCTTTCTGGATCCTCAGAGGATGGGCTGGAAGGATCCTGCTTGGGGGCAGGGAAATGAGGACCTGGCTCAGGACCCTGGTGGCTCTTTGGGCCCAGGTCAGAGTGAAGCTGAGAAGGGAGGTTGTCGGGAGCTTGTAACTAGGAGGCTTGGGGTGGAGGGTGTCTCTGCTCTCACTGCTGCCCACTGCAGAGCAGGTCAATGGGCTGATCCAGAGGCCTGAGCCACACACAGGCTGGCTGGGTGGGAGTCTGAAGGGGAACCTGCCGGCCTCTCTCCTACAGCCTCCATTCCCTTGCCTCAGTGGGGCCCTGGGCTGAGACTCTGCCTGGGAGGGTGACCCTAGATTGAGGGGTGTGGAGCCCCCATGGGCATCATCATCTCTGCCCTTGTCTCAACTTCCTTGAGTCCTTAGAAGGAAGGCTCCCTAAGCCTTTTTCTACTTTTCCCTGTCTTCCATCCTGGGTCTCTTCATCTTTTTCTCTGACTTTCTCCACCTCAGTCTACTCTCTCTATCTTGTCTCTGTTTCTCTCAGGCTTTCTGTGTCTCTCCGTGTCTGTTTCTGACCATCTCTGTCTGGCTATGTTTCTCTCTGCTTCCCTTTCCCTTCCTCCCTTCCTCTCTCCCCTGTCCCTGTGCTAGTTCTGGGTTCAGTGCCCTTGTCCTCTTTCCTCGGCCGGCCCGGATCACCGTCTATCTGGGCCGGTCCCCTGGAGGCCGGCCCAAACTGTCTCCGAGACCGCCTCTCTTCCCCAGGCTGTGTTCTGCCCTCGGCTCCGCGGCCAGCGCAAACCCCTGCCTCAGCCGCCTCACCTGTCTGCTGGCCCAGGGAAAGGCGGCGGGTGCGCCCCGACGGGAGCGCAGCGGAAGGAGCGAAGGGGCGGGCCCCAGGGAGGAGGCCCCACCCACCCCAGGCTCGGCCCCGCCCCCTCCGGCCCCGCCCCTCCCGGGTCCTTGCTTGCGCCCCCAACAGTGCCCTGGCCGCAGAGCTGCCGCTGCCGCCCGATGAATGGAGTCGCCTTCTGCCTGGTCGGGATCCCGCCCCGCCCGGAGCCCCGGCCCCCCCAGGTGAGGGCGCGGGGCCAGGGAAGGGGGCGGGTCCAGGCGCTACCGGGGAGCTGGCAGCAGGGCTGGGGTCGCGGCGCCCCCGCTCGGCGGGCACAGCCTGGGGAACACCGCGCTGGCACCGCGGGCACGGCTGCGGGAAACCTTGGCTGGTGGCGAGCCGGGGAGGGGGCCAGAGCGAGGGCTGCTCTGGGCAGGGGGGCGGGAAGGAGGAAGGTAGGCAGGGGGCCGGGACGCGCGCAGGGCTGCCAGGGCAGGGGGCACCGACTGGGGCGGCGGTGCCAGGCCCCCGGGGGCTGGGCAGCGGGGGCGGGAGGCCCGCGCCTTTTGTCCGGGTTTTTCAGGCGGGGCGCCTGCCGCCGTTTCCTCTGCCCGAGTTTTCGTTTTCCGTTGGCGAGGCCCCGCCACAGCTGGAGGGAGAGGGAGTGGGGGAGGGGGTTCCCGAAGCGGGATGTCCTTGGCCACCGCGGCCGGACACCCCCCTCCCCGCGCCACACTCGCCCCCTGCCGGGCCGGACCGCTCGACGAGCTGCGGGGCGCGGGTCCGCCGCCCCTCTGGGTCCCGGGGAAGAGAAACAGGCCCGGGACCTGCGGCCCTGCAGGGGCAGCTGCACTCCCCTCTGTCCCCTCCGGCTGGCTGTGGGTGGGTCTGGGCATGGGGTGCCAGGGGCATTACTCAGCGCTGGGCTGCTTTGCTTGGGTCCTTTCATCTGCCAGCTGCTGGCGCTAGGGAGGGGCCAGCAGGGGCCTCTGCGCCCCATCCGGGCCAGCCCCCTACCTCTGAGCCTGGCCACCCAGTCCTGTTGGAGCACCCCAACATACACTCCCCCTTCCCAAGGTGAAGGATTGAACGCTGTCTGGCCAGTCGTTTTCCCAGCTTGGAAAAGAAGTTCCCTGGGGGTCCAGGTTGGGGTCAAGGCCTGGGCTGAGGCCTCTTCCGCTTTTGACAGGGCTGGAGGACTTAGGGACGCTCCTTCCCAGCCCTCCCCCAGTGCTGGAGCTGGGGTCTGGTACTTTGCAAACTCTTCCTGACACTGGTGTGTTTCTCAGGAGCTGGCTGTATGCTCAGTTCTCCCTCAATCTGTGTCTCTCTCCCCGGACTCCCACTCCACTTTTCAGAGTTTCCTAATTACAAACTTGAATTTCAGGATGGACTGGGGCTAGGGGTGGAGGTCATTAAGCCTGAGTCCCTTGGATTCTCCCCCTGGACCAACACATACCTCATCTCCACCCCCACCCCCACAATTTCCACCCCCACCCGCAGCCAAGGCCCTGCTGGGGGTGGATGCATTTGATCCCACGTGGTTCTTTCCCTGGCCAGGGCAACAGCCCCATTCCCCAAAGTGGTGGCTCTCACTGCGATTTGCTCATTGGCATGTGATTTGAACCTCTATTACATAACCCATCATTTTGCCTCCAAACACAGCCCAAAGGCCCCCAGCCCCAGCCTCTTCTTCCACTTGCTCACAGGGTGGTTGGGTCCACCCCTAGGTGGCTCCGAGCTCCAAGTTCCTGCGTCCAAGACCCCGCCCTCCCCTTGGGAATGATGAGAGCAGTAAATCCTTGACCTTCAGTGCTGGATTTGTGGGCCTCAAAAGCCCTGTGAGTGGGTGGGATGGATATTAGAGTCTGAGGCTACACAGAGATAGTGCCAGGGCTGGAACCCGGGTCTCCTGATAGGAGTCACGGCACAGGATAAAGCTTTGGAGAGGGGAGCATTGTTAGGAAGGTGGCTTTGGGACACATGGGGAATGGGGCAGGCTTTTGAGGATCCCAGCCCCAGCGGAGAGGGACTGGACCCAGGGAATAGGCCTTGTGTTTGGGGAGCCTGCATGGGGACCTCTGTGTCCCCTCATCAGGCCAACTTTGAGCTCATAGGGAAAGGAACAAGAGTCCTGTCTGGCCCCTCAGGGGCGCAGCATTTTTGGCACGGATGGGAGTGGGAATGAGGGAGGGTGCTGGTTACAGATCAGGGCAGTGCAGGAGGGATGGAGGCGTTTACACTTCATCCTTCATGGCAGGGTTACTTAGAATGACTTCGTGATGTATAAAGTTAAAAGAGAGAACAAAAGAGGAGAATGGAATAAGTTACAACGTGAAGGATTGCAGTTAGCTATACGGGAGAACTTCTGGGGCGAGGCTTGTGAACGGCAGCATCCCAGGCTAGCCTGGAGCGTCATGTAGGGAAGTTCCCTCCAGTATAGTGTGTCAGGTAGATTCTTATGATGTTGGATTCCAGTGTAGCAATCTGGAGGGATTGGTAGGGGTTGCAGATATATTCAAATGAGCATAGACATTAGTGCCTGAAAAAATGTGTTTTTAAGGAGGAGGAGTTGCTTTAATAGTATAGCTGATAATTAAGACATAGATGGCAATTACTCCGGGCCAGGATTTTTATAAATTACTGCTTTTAATCCTCACAACACCACCATGATGTGGATATCGTTATCCCCATTTGACAGGTGAAGACACTGAGGCACAGAGAGCTAATACGTTGGCCAAAATCACATCAATAACAAGTAGCTGAGCCAGGGTGGGAACCCGGCAGTCTGGCCCATGTCCATGCTCTCACCCTGCTATCCTGCTTCTCAGGACCTGCTTTGTCCCACTGTCACTCCCACCCCAGGTCTGGGTCCATCTTGGACACAGCCCAAGATCAAGGTCAACCTCTCCCTGGATTGGAGCTTGGTTGCTTGTCTTTCTGCTGGGACAGGGCTGGGGACCAGAGGCCTCAGTGAGGTGAAGCCTCAGGTGCCCGTCTGTGTTGGTAGGTGGCGAATCAGCTCATTTACTCCTCCACCCTCCCATCCCACCCCATGCAGTCCATAGCACTTGATGTTTTCCCTCCAAAGGGGCATCCACCCTGCTCTGTTGGTTGCAAGAGTTCAAAGGTGAGATATTGGCTTGGTCAGGGATTTGGACAAAGCCTGGTTTGAATGATCCTGCTCTCTCTCCCTCCCCGGAGAGAGCCATGAATAGGGCCTGTGGGAGCTGGCTCTGCCTTTCCCCTAGCACCCTCCACCCCCTTCAAACAACCCGCCTTTAGATCCAGGCCCCCTATTTCATGTGAAATTGTGCCAGCTCATCAGCAGGGCAGTGCTGGTCAGTACCAGGCAGGCATCTCCTCCCCACTGCCTCAGTGGGACAGCAGGCTGGGTGGCCTTGGGACTGGACTTTGGGGCGAGCTTAAATCTCTGTGGGGGTGGAGTGTTTTCATCACCTGTCAGAGTGAGTCAGGACCAGAGGGGTCATCTTGCCCAACTCCCTCATGCTACAGGGAGGAAACTGAGGCCAGAGAGGCCAGAGAGGCCCAAAGTCAGGTAGCCTGTGAGTGGTGGACATGAACCCAGATGTTCTGACTCCTGGGCTCCCAGGCTATGCCTTTCCCCACATGGTTCTGTCCTTGGTGCCCCCCTTCAGTGCAGGGTTCTGGGACAGGGCCCCGGGAGGGAGAGGGGAGGGCATAGAGGAGCAAGGATGAGTGGACAATGCGTCCCGTTCTTCTCTGTGTCCCCAGTGGCCAGCACAGCGCCTGGCACAGAGCAGCTCTCCATAAATGTTTGTGAAGTGCGGGCCAGGGAACAGCTCCTCCCCTGGCTTCCCAGGGTGCCCCTGCCCAGCTCTGCCTCTGGCACTGTGACAGTCGGTCTGCACGTCAGTCTCCCCCATCAGACTGGAGTTATTTGAGGGCAAGAAAAGTATTAATAGCAACTGCTTCCATAGCGCTCACCACTAAGTAGGTACATCATCATTGTCCCATTTGACAGATGAAGAAGCTGGCACAAAGAGATTACGTGGCTTCCTAGGGTCACACAGCTAGTAAGTGGCAGAGCTAATGAGTTGACCATGCTCTTGACCTCATTCCAAGTGGCCCCAGAAGTGTTGAGTTTATCTTGGTATCCACAGGGCCTGGCCTGCAGCCGGTACTCAGAGACTGTTTGTTGACTGACGGGCTGACAATGAATGGAAAAACCACAGAATCCCACCCTTTGGAGGTAGCTGGGGTTGGGGTCTTGGGAAGGCAGCCTAGAGGTTCATCACTGTGTTATCTGCGCCAGGAGGACCTGAGCCAAATCTAGAAAGGAAGGGAAAGCTCACCCACATCCTGTCATGACTACCCTCCAAGGCTTAACGCGGGCCACTGCGCCCCCCAGTCTTCTGGCTTCTCTTGTGCTCTCACTTCCTCCCTTCCTCCCCCAGAGTTCCGAGGGAATGGTGCTGAGCAATGGGCACGTGGAGAAGACTACAGGTTGGATTAAAGAGGGCTGTTCTTTTTCATCTCTCTGGCCCTGAGATGTTCAGCCCAATGCATCACCTTGGTGGAAGATTCTGTGCCTTTCAAGTTGGAGGGTGGACGGAGTGTCTGGTTTGGGGCAGGGCCCATCATAGCTATCAATTCTCTGTCTCTCCCTGGAAGGGGTGTTGGATTTCCGGCCACCTCCAGTCCTAAACCTTAGGCCCAGGGTCATCTCCTCCAACCTCCTGAAACCCACGTCCCCCTGGGCAGGTAACCTCTTCCCCTCTGATTGCCTCCTGCTCCCCGTTTGCTGGTTTGAATGAACATCAGTCAGTCACTATCCCCAGCCCACACTTCATCTGCTGACAAAAGCTGGTGGGGAGCTGGCTAGGAGACAGAAGACTCAGTGTGGGGGATGGGGTCTGCCTTCTAACACAGAGAGGCAACCGTGGGAGATGAGAGGCCCAGGCCTGGCATGGCCGCTGGTACACTGGGAGCAGGTTGGGTGTCTGAGTCCTGCCTTCAGCCTGCTGAGGTTCCAACTTCAGCTCTACCCCTTATTCACTGTGTGACCTTGGCCAAGTTAATTCATTTTTAGTCTCAGTTTTCTTTTTTTTTTTAAAGTTTTATTTATTTATTTTTTCCCCCAAAGCCCCAGTAGATAGTTGTATGTCATAGCTGCACATCCTTCTAGTTGCTGTATGTGGGACGCGGCCTCAGCATGGCCAGAGAAGCGGTGAGTCGGTGCATGCCCGGGATCCAAACC